CAGTCGCTCATTGACGGCTGGTTGCTTGTGCGCAGGGCCCACTGAGGAAGCAAGCAATGGCTGAGCAAAACCTGTTGCCTAGTAACAGGGTGCAGAGTAACGAGGCACAGCAATGGCTGCCAGCTAAGGGCTATGCTCATCCTATTCTGTTACAGCCTGCCAGGCTCCTCTTGTAACAGCACCGTGAGCTCAGTCTTTAGCACACAGCCACTGCTGTGCATCATTACTCTGTACCCTATTATCAGGCAACGGGTCCTACTCAGCCATTGGTTAGCGCCTCAGCGGGCCTCGCCCACTGGCAACCAACTGTCAATGAACAACAGTTAGTGAGAGGATTCAGACAACAGCTGAGTGTTGGTCATAAGGTGGAGAGTAAGGTTAGAGGCAGATCCCGGCCTTCTTCCCAAGGCCCTCCAGCTCACCCAGCCTTGGGCCAGTGGGGGAGATGGGGGGCCCAAAGAACAGGCCTGGGGCTGTGTTCTGTAGGGCTTTTCAGAGCCCTCACCAAGGCCTTGAGGCAGTGGTGAACCTCTCCCCGATCCTGGTCTCTGCAACCTAACAGCCGTGATGGAGTGGTGGTTCCATATGGGACCCAAGGCATAGGGGCCTTTCCCTCCCTGGCGCTGGCCTGCATGCTCCATTGAGACAGACACCAGCTATAATGGTTCTGCTCAGCCACTGGCTGAGCACCCTGGTGGGCCCCTCCCCGGAAGCAAGTGAGCACCATAGAGAAGTGACCATTAACAGCCCTGCTCTGCTATTGATCGGTGCTACTGAAAGCCCCTCCCTCCACTGTATGGACCCTGAATTCTAAGGGTTTTTGAGAGGCTAGTCTGCCATCTTCTCTGTTTGCTGAACTTCCAATTAAAGTCATTATTCCTTGCTCCAACAACTCATTTCCAAATTTATTGGCAGCAAGCAGAATGAGCTTGGGCTCAGTAACAGTGGCAGTTTGCCTGGGACACAGTCTGTGGGACCTAGTCTCCCCTCTTTGGAGGCCTGAGGACTAGTTGGGTTGGGCAAAGTCTGGAGACCTGGCCCTGAGAGAACTGTCAACTGAGCTCTGCCTCCTCTTAGCCAGGACCAGGTCCCTGGAGTGTAAAAGTTGTGCCTTGGGACCTTGTCCTTTCTTGTCAAGACAAAGAATAACATTCATTTGGTAGAGATTTACAGGAAAATCATTACCTGAACATGACCTGAATCCAAGACCTGACTTCAAGAACAAAGGATCTAACATCAGGAAGTTTGCAACAACTAACCACCCAGGACTGATCTCCTTCAGGATGGACTGGTTGGATCTCCTTGCAGTCCAAGGGACTCTCAAGAGTCTTCTCCAACACCACAGTTCAAAAGCATCAATTCTTTGGTGCTCAGCTTTCACAGTCCAACTCTCACATCCATACATGACCACTGGAAAAACCACTGCCTTGACTAGACAGACCTTTGTTGAGAAAATGATGTCTCTGCTTTTTAATATACTGTCTAGGTTAGTCATAACCTTCCTTCCAAGGAGTAAGTGTCTTTTAATTTCATGGCTGCAGCCACTATCTGCAGTGACTTTGGAGCCCAGAAAAATCAAGTCAACCACTGTTTCCACTGTTTCCCCATCTATCTGCCATGAAGTGATGGGACCGGATGCCATGATCTTAGTTTTCTGAATGTTGAACTTTAAGCCAAATTTTTCACTCTCCTCTTCATCAAGAGGCTCTTTAGTTCTTCTTCACTTTCTCCCATAAGGGTGGTGTCATCTGCATATCTGAGGTTATTGATATTTCTCCCAGCAATCTTGATTCCAGTTATAACTGAGTGCAAATGGCTCCATTCCTTTGGACAGGATAACACAAGCACTGACCATTATCTAGACCACACTCAAATTGTTATAAAATGTAGCTTGGTTCTTATTCCTGCTTTGACTCCTGGTTACAGTAATTCTTTCACTGATCTTTGGCCTCTACTTTTTTAAGAAAAACAAAAAACTACTTGTTAAATTTTGCCTCCTCCAGATTACAACAGATTCACATCAAGGTAAGGATGATACAGAGATTACAGCACTTCTAAGAACAGATCCTGGAGGAATAACAAGAGAAGTCACCCGAGGGTCCCTTAATAAAACATAATTAAACAGAGTGATAACTCCACGGCCCCAACCAGGTAGGGTCGACAAGTCCCTTGTGAGCCTGAACAAGCTACAGAAGGCAAGCTATAGTCCCTCATCTTCCCAATAAAGATTTCTTGGGGTTCACATCTCTCAAAGGGGATTTGAAATAGGACATAAAGGAGCCCCTGGGTTGGACAGCTGGTGACCATCAAGTGGAGCAAAACTGAGGTTTTCTCCTCAGCCAGACAAGAATGATGCCTATTTCCCTTCCTCCACTAACATGGAGTAAATAAATTAACACTGGGGAATTTGTTGCAGTGAAAAGGAAAAAAGAGGAATGAGTTTCTCTTTATTTTCCTTTCCCTTTCCTGAGAATAAAGAAAATGAAGAGAACACTGAACAAGCTGGAGAAGAAACATAAATGGGCCTGAAAGAGCTAATTTTAGTTTTACTAGTGTTTTACCTAGTTTTACTTTACCTATTCCTAATCTTAGTCTGCAACTAGGGTTGCTTTTCCCAAAACTAACCTGACTTTACGTAAACTACATCCTGCACCTATTGCCCCCTAACTCTGCTTGAGTTACATCCTGCACCTACTACCCTTTAACTCTATGCTAATTACATCCTGGACCTGTGCTTACTTACCTTCACTGCACTCCCTTTGCAGACCACCCTTGTAGCTTTTTGCATTTTAGAAAGAAGGCCACAGTACAATAAACCAGAGACAAATGGACCCAATTACTGGGCTACCAGATTGCAAGACCCAATTACCAGGCTACCTGATGCCAACTATGACTGTTTTGAAAGAATTCAAGAAAAATTCAAGATCTTCATTACTTTAAGCATTATCATTTACCCTAAGACCACAAGACCCAAGCTATATAAAGTCTCATTTCCCCTAGGAGTGGGGCACAGCTCTTCAGACACTAACCTGCTGTGTTCTCCCCTCAGCTGGCTGAAAGATTAAAGCCATCTTTCTATTCCCTCGAAACTCTGCCTGTATTTTTTTATTCAGCATCAGTGGGCAGAGAAAGGCAAGATTTTGCTGGTAAGAAGAACATGTCAGGGGAATCAACAACAAAAAGCACAAAACTTGAAAATATGCCACTGCTGCTGCTGCTAAGTCACTTAGTCGTGTCCAACTCTGTGCGACCCCATAGATGGCAGCCCACCAGGCTCCCCCATCCCTGGGATTCTCCAGGCAAGAACACTGGAGTGGGTTGCCATTTTCTTCTCCAATGCATGAAAGTGAAAAGTGAAAGTGAAGTCGCTCAGTCGTGTCTGACTCTTAGTGACCCCATGGACTGCAGCCTACCAGGCTCCTCCTTCCATGGGATTTTCCAGGCAAGAGTACTGGAGTGGGTTGCCATTGCCTTTTAACAGATCTCAAAAACAGTACTCGTTTATAGCATGAAAACTGAAACAAGAAGGCAGAGAGCCTTATTCAACCTCAGCTGGGAAGGTACATGTGGAGCGGTTGCTCTGCCCACAGCTGAGGATGAACGTGAAAGTGAGGTAGAACATAGATGGAATTCAGGTTGGACATTTATGACCAGCCACTCTTCTGCTTGCATTTCCTGAGATAAGAGACAGGCTGAGGAATTTACAACCAACAAAAACTGGGCAGATACGCAGTCTTTGTCTCCTGCTAACACCCCAAGGGAATAATCATAGCAAGGATAAAGAAAGAAAAAACCCTACACATGCACAGAAGGGCTCCTTGGGGTCAAAAGTCAGAGGACAATTTCAGGCCACAATGAGTCTTGCTCCTCCCAGAAGCTCTCACTTCAAGATCCATCTTGGCTAGGGTGTACCTGGGCACCCGAGGGGAGGGTCCTGAGACAAATTAACCAAAGGGAACAAAGCAAGGTGACTGGCCTGAGGGAAGACACAGACTTGGAAAACTGCCCCTTCACAAAGGACTTAAACTTCCCAAAGGGGCAGCTCTCTTTGAGCTTGCCTATGAGCCTTTCTGCATGTATATTCCCTTTCAATAAACTTTCTACTTTATCCTTTATCTTCTGCCTCCTTACCTGAATTTGTTCTTGACTAGGCAGGCAAGACTAGGGAACGTGGCCCTAATTGCTGGCTCCTGTGGTACAGTGGTTAGGACTCCCTGTCTGGGAAACTAAGGCCCTGTTTTCAGTTACCGCTTGCTGCTACTTGCTGCAAGCTACCGCTTACTGTCACGCAAGTCCGAAATCAAAAAGCACCTCGAGCAGGCATATTCACAAACATGGAATCTGCAAATAACAATGTCAACTGTATGTCGATTTGTGCTCCGGTGGAAAACTGCAATATTTAGAACAGTTTCCTGGGTCCTTCAAATTCTACACGGTTTCACTTTTTTCACTGCCTCTGAGCTATTTTATATCTCCATAGCTCTAAATTATAATTTATTTTTATTGTTTTAGTCATTTAGTCATGTCTGACTTTTTCTGCAACCCCATGAACTGCGTCACCCGCCAGGCTCCTCTGTTCATGGTATTTTCTGGGCAAGATCAATGGAGTGGGTTGCCATCCCATCCCAGGGATCAAACCAGTGTCTCCAGGTTTCCTGCACTGCAGACAGATTCGTCACTGCTAAACCATACAGGAAGTTCCAAATAAATGACAGAAATGCAAAACAATTATCTTTAAGCATGCAAGTAATTTCTGTGGAAGTTCAACAAAGTCCTTGCCCCCCACCATGGAAAAAAACCATTTTGCATCCCTTCAAATACATTTGGACATTCCGTATCACATACCTCTCATCTATATTAATTCTTCTTTACTTTGTTTAACTGATTTCTGACCCACCCATTTATTACTGAGTTAAATAAAATATCTGACACGTTTTCAATTCGTGTTTTATGTGACAGTCACGACACAGCACGTCTTCTGTCCCGCACCGTCCCCTCACCTGTGTGCAATGACAGCCAGCCCTTGCGGTGGGCGATGTAATGAGGCGCATGCGCTTCCTCGTAGGTCACTGGCTTGTCCCCCTTGCCCACTCGGACTCGGGCCGCCCGGTTCTGAAGAGAAAGAGAGGCCGTGACTTTCCGCGACTACTGACCAAGGGCGAACCCTAGGTCATGCCCCCACCCTCAGGTCCCAGACCCCGAGGCCGCGAGTCCTCACGCTGCGCTCACCTTGGAGCAGACCGCGGAGGTATGCAGGGCGCGCCAGATGCACGGCAGATCCCGGCTCCAGGACAGCATCTGTAGGGACAGTGAGGCGTGAGACCCAGACAGGGGCCCTCACCTCCACCCGGCCGTCCGGCCCGCACCGCCCACTCACCAGAGGCCTGAGCCCCCGACCGCAGTGGAGCGCCACCATCTTTGGCGGGGGGGCGGGGCGGGGCGGAGCCGAGCAGGCCGGATAAAGACAAACCGCGCGAGGCTTCCACCAGGGCGAGACCACCCGCGGGCCGGCGCGGGGGTGCGAGCCTCTCTACCTGGCGGGGCTGCGCGCCATCAGCCCCGACCTGTTGCGGGCAGGTGGAGGCCCCGGCTCCGGGCTCAGGAGCCGGGCTGTGTGGGGCCGGGAGGTGCGGGGGGCAGGACGCTGCGCCTCCCCCCGCAGCCCTGTGCGCGTCTCGCACCCCTCCGCAGTGCCACAGTCGTGGTTTGCGTCATCGACCCGGAAACTGAAGGATGCTGAACGCGAGGATTCGCTGTCTGAGAGCTCTCACAGGTGCGGTGAAGAGTGTTTCGGAGGGTCGGTGCTAACCCTACCGCCTGGCCAGGGTCTTTAGAGAAACAGCGTTTTACCGCGTCTGAGACATTAGGCTGCTGAGCTCTGTCTTCAGATAATATCGTTTTAAAAATGTGGGGCGGGGGGGGTGACTGACTTATCCACAAATAAAGAAGAAAATCTTTTGGTTAAAACTTTATGCAGTTCTTGGGAGGGGCAAGAGGGGGGTATGAAACTGAAATGAAATACTTCCTGCCATATTGGTGGGCAAGCGATGTCACAGCTTTCTGCGTGATTCTAACCTTCCAAATGTGAATTCCTGAGCCTTGCTGACACTCGGCACCACTCCCTACATAAGGAACTTAATTAAGGATGTCACAGTCACCAATGATTGACCAAAGTCACAGTACAGCCTCCTGTGTGAGCCAGAAGGCCCTAAGGGAACTCAGGGAAGAGAAATTATCTCTGTAAATATGCAAGATGGTGGCCCCAAGCTGAGAAGCATATGAAAGGAATGGCGTAAATAATCCCAGACTCTTGCATCTTCCCATACGTAGAAGAATACTAAATCCCTAAACTTGCTAGCTGGGTTTCTTAACAATGATCTTCGATGTTTAGATTGCCTGTCCCCACCTCTCCCTTTGTTGCAATCTTGACTGCACACCTGGCTCCCAGGCCCGCCTCCTGGAAGCAGTGTTCTCAGAGCTACTGTCTCCCAGGCTCAGGGTCCTAAGCATTCCCACCAAGTAAAATAACTGTATTTACAGGTTGTAACTAATAGCTTTTAGTCGACAGGGTTAAGGGACACAGACTGCAATGTAAAAATAAATAGGGTAAAAGAAATATTGTTCGATACAGGGAATATAAAAAGTTTTTTAATTTTATAATAACCTTAAATGAAGTATAATCTATAAAAATATTAATATTGTTGTACACCTAATATAATATTGTACACTAATATTAATAAATTAGCTGAACTTTAAACTTAAAAATCATCCAAGTCTTCAGGATGGGTTATGCAGGGGGTAAGTTTTCACATCTGACCATACCCTAGGATCTGGTCCTTGAGGAAGGGAAGTTTTAAGGGAGAAAGGGCTGATGGACAGGAAATTCTTGGAGATATTACAGAACCTGCTCTACTCAAACCAAAGCATTGCCAAGGTAATTGTATCCAGAAATTATTGTCAGAGGGGAAAATATCAACACTGGGTATCTTAGTCCAGAATTTAACATAGTAATGGAAAAAACACAGACTCTGGATTCAGGTATAACAATCTTTGTACAATTGAGCCTCAGTTCCATAATCTATATAATTGGTTTTGTTAATAATACCACCTCATAGAGCTGTTACTGGTACTGTTAGGTTGAATCATGTGAAGTTGCCACCATTTGAACATTCTGACTTAAATCATTCACCCTAATGCTGCTTACAACTGCTGTGGTTTCCAATGGGAGGCAGGACTAGACTATTATCTGTGTGGAAGGGAAATAGAGGCAAAGGCAAACAGTGAATTGCCTCAGATGACACTGGGGAGGTTTGGAGAGGGACCCTTGGCTTCAGTGCAGTACATTTTCCATGATCAAGTTTCCTCTGACCATTTGGAGCTGGTTTCTCCAAAAAGGGACAGTGTCTTTCATGCCCACTTTACTTAGAACGTTTTATTTCTAAAATTTTTAACTGTGGCCTCCAGCTGTTCTGCATACTGAATAAGGGGACAGAATAGGAATGAGATGTTCTTCAATCACAATATTTTTCAAATATAAGAACTTTCAACTTTAACTGAAGGACTTTTTTAAGCTGATAGTATTTTTTTCTTTTAAAAGTTTTCATAAAGTTTGGTAATTTACATTTTGGTAAATTTTTGAAGAGTGAAAGTTGCTCAGTCGTGTCTGACTCTTTGTGACCCCATGAACTGCAGTCCATGGAATTCTCCAGGCCATAATACTGGAGTGGGTAGACTTTCCCTTCTCCAGGGGACTTTCCCAACCCAGGGATCAAACCCAGGTCTCCTGCATTGCAGGTGGATTATTTACCAGCTGAGCCACAAGAGAAGCATTTTTAAATCTCTAAAGTGGTGAGGAACATGGGATCTGGTAGATATAGATGAAGTAGAACTACAACTTCCTGGCTTGTCAATTTAGGCAAGTGACTTGGCCTTCCTGAGTCTCAGTTTCTCTTATTTATAAAATGAGGACAATGATGGTTGTTGTGAAACTCACCTTGTAAAATGCCTGATGGAGTGAGCAGCTAATAAATATTCTGTTGTTATTGTTGTTGTTGTTTAAATAATAAAGTCTCTGATATCTATATCCTCTTAGAGAGATGAACCGGCCGTTGAGGGTTTATGAGAATTCACTGGAACACCACCTTCACCCAAGGAAAGGCCTGGTTTTCCATCGAGGTGACAGTGGCCTGGACTTCACAGCAGAAGGCAGTGCTGTCCAGCCAACCAGGAGCTGTTGTGCTTGGGGTTCAAGTTTTGCCACTCTTCCTTATGCCTGAGAGTCTCCCAGGAATTCCAAACTGATCCGGATCATTTACTACCTTTTGTTTATTATCTTTATTTTATACTATGCCTTGTTGCAAAAAGGGATTCAGCTGGTTCCTTGAAAGGGGGTGGTGGGGGAGGGGGGGTCATATGAATGTGTTTGCATGATTTAAACAACTTAAAAGTATATTTTAATACATTAGCATGAACTTATATTCTTTTAGATCACCAAGAGAAGAAATTTAGTAGGATATTTATTTTTCTGTAATTTCCATTTAACAACACTAATGGTGTTTTTATACACTTTGCTTCTCCCATCAATCCTAGAAAGGAGGCAGTATTGTCCAGGTTTTGCAGATCAGAAGGTGGAAGCTCAGAGACTTCCCTGAGGTTACAGAACTAGCAAAGGGTAGCAGCCTTCTTGTTCCAAAGCATGTGCTCATTCCGTATCTGGGGTTCCACTGCATCACTGAGTGGGGGTGAGTGTTCAGAACCACAGAGGATGGAGGAATGGCCCTTATGTCTGTGGCTGGGCACAGAGCGCTCCAGACTGGCCCTGGGGACTCCCTTACTGGGAGTCCAGACCAGAACCCTGGGGAGACAAGGATGTCCAGCTGTTTATTCTCATAGGTGAGCTCCTTTGCTCTCCTCGTGGTAGCCAGGAGGATCCAGATTCCTTTTTACTCTCGGAGCAGCGATTCTCCACCCTGACTGCATATTAGAGTCCATTGGACCCCATACCACAAGGACAGTACTGGGCAGAATGGTGGCACCTGTCCTCCTGCAGTGCTCCCTAGATAATCCCAATTTACAGCCAAGGCTGAGAAACAGCATCCTCAACTCCAGGTCTATGTGAAAGACCCTCAGAACCTGATCTGTAGAGACCCCGTTGCAGGAAAGGGATATTAGATGATCCTTACAACCCTTTCCTACCACCAGTCTTATGAGACCATCACAGCTCTTATGCTGAGGGGACTAGAAAAAGGAGGGGGCTGCTGTGTGGCCTGGAGTTTTTTTGAAGATGGTCTGTTCAGTGGGTCCAGTGTAGCCCAAAGGCTCACTTGTATCAAAGGACAGAGCACTGGCTGGGCTGTGGGGTGGCACTGTGTGAGAAGGAGACCCTGCACAGCACAGTCCAGCCTAGAACAGTGTTTGTTTCCTGAACTCACAAGCATGCAGCCTCTGGGAGCAGTGTCTCAGGCAGAGATGTCTGCCGTCCTGTTGGCTGTGGGGTCATGGAGACAACTCCACTCATGTTGGTTCTCCTCACAAGATGGACTTGTTCCAATTCAGAACTGCTGATACTTTAAATTTTGTAACCCTATGGTTTTTGTGCCACTCTTGGTAATTCATTTTCTGCTAATAACCAACCCATTCACTAAGAGAATCCCAGAGGTTCTCACGACCTCTATTCCATGAACTAAGCTAAACAACCACTGAAATCAAATTAAAGCAGAGTCTTGAATTGTCTTCTCTCTTGCATAGGAAGCTGAAGGGGCCCTAATCCCATGTTTCCCCATGAGCCCCTACCCCTACCCCTCAACTCTCCTTCTATTGAGGCACAAGAAGAGGGGTTACATCCAAAACTATCATTACTGACCAGCATTGGCATGCTGAGGAAGTCCAGTCTCCCGATGGTGGAACCAATTAGAAACACCCTTTGCTACACTGGTAGCCTAAACTTAAAAGGAGTCCTACTTCAGGACCACTTGAAGTAGATGGATAGGCGTGGGCCTCATATATGAAAGGCATTGAGACGTCACTCCCTGGTTCTTAGATACTGTGCTAGACCTGGACACAAAAAATGGGCTTGATGTCCTTTCTTCTGATGGGGAGGGCAGAGAAGGAGACAAGTAAAAGGGGCTTAGATAAGGACCATGACCCCCTTAGGTGGTGGAGTGGAGGTGGGGCTGCCATCAAAGCCATCCTGAAGAAGGGCCAGCCAGGACCAGGGACAGGTGGGTGGAGGCTCCAGGCAGACAGCGTAGATGCAGCCATGGAGCCCAGAGTGTGGGCACTGGGGATGCGAGCTGGAAAGTCACAGAAGCCGGAACAAGACCACCGTGGAGCTCTCTTCTGTGGCTCTGACTTACTGGTGCTTGTAAGGCTGCATTCTGATGTAATTTTGTTGAAGTTTTAGGAACTGAGGATAGGTTTGTAGCGAAAGTCATTTTTTTTACTACTGACTCAGAAAGAAAGGATTTCTCTTTATTGGGCTAATTCACATCTGAGGAGCTGAGGAGAGCTACCAGATTAGGTTTACACTGGTACAGATTTCTCAACAGTAGCCCTGCTAGACAATATGTTTCAGTAAGTCTAAGATCACATTGTTTAGAAGACGTTACCATTTATAAGGAGAAAAGGCTGCAAATTAAGATATCACTGATCAATTACAAGATAAATCCTTTTTGGCCTGTTAAGGCCAACCATGAGGTTGATGGAGAAGGCAGGCAGCTTCCTTTGCATGAGTCTCGGGTACGCAGACTGGGGTAGACACATCTTCAGGTGCCTTACTTGTTTGTGCACACAGACTGGCTCCTCCAAAACCAGCTTTTGTGCACTCACCACAGAGGAGGTGCTAGTAGTGACAGATAAGGCTTAGAGACGTTGAATGACTCTGTTCAAGGGTCATGTAATTAGCAGGAAGCAAGGCCAGGTTCAAAACCAGGCCTCGAATCCCACATCCTACTTTCTGTCTCCAGGGAATGGGGCAGGTGCTCTTGTGCCCAGTCTTAAGATTCCTAGGCCCGTTTACTCCAAGATCACTGACATGGTTTATGCTTTCACTGAAGCACCTGATACCCTGTGAGCAGTCCACCCACCCGTTCCTCTGAGAGGCTCTCACATCACCAAGCTGGGCTCCAAAGACATCACTGCCCAGTAGCCCCACAGCAAGTTCCATGACCTCTCAGACCCTAAAGATGTCTTCAGGTCTGATGTAGGGAGGCCTTCTGACTGTGGTGAACCCATGAATGGCTACAGTAGGCTGATGCTTAGTGTTCTGAGCTCCACGGCCAGGGTCAACTGTCTGAGCCACAGACCCCAACCCCAGCCGTGTCACTAGTTCTGGAAATCTCTTGCTTGGGCCCTAGGGCCACCTCCTCTCTGTACTTTGCGATTTCAGGAAAATGAGGCCTCCAGGTAGTGACCAGGAACTTCTTTCTGTTCTCTGAACTCCTACCAGACTTGGAAAGGAAGCCCTCCAGACTGTAACCCTTTCTTTAATGGCAGGCTTCTCAGGCCCTGTTCCAGAGCCCCAGGATGCTCCTCCTGCTGCCCCTCATGTTCAGAATATGGTCCCTGTGCTCTGGGAGCCTGGCTCTGGATATGTGAAACAGAGGTTGGAGGAAGTGCTGGAACTTGGGGAACCTAGTCTTTTGCTAACAAATTTAGGAAAACCTTATCACTTCTGAGGGCTTCTCTCGTGGCTCAGACAGTAAAGAATCTACCTGCAACATGGGAGACCAGGGTTTGGTCCCTGGGTTGGGAAGATCCCCTGGAGAAGGGATAGGCTACCCACTCCAGTATTCTGGCCTGGAGAATTACATGAACTCTACAGTACATGGGGTCACGAAGAGTCAAACACGACTTTCACGTATCACTTCTGAAACTCAAAAGAGTTTCTAATGCTCAGGCACTACAAATTCATTTCTTCCTGGATCATTATATACACAAATAGTAAGATGTTGGTTCACCTGGAAATACCAAAACCTGTCCTTCCTTTTTCCCTCTTAGAGCCATGAAAACTTCCCAGTTGCCTCTCTAGCACTATAGGAATTTCACCTAGGATATTCCTGGGTCCCAAATTCAAGCACTGGAAATCTCTTACAACTGTTGAATATTAACCAGTTCCTTTAAAAATTGATTCAAGCTGTTCCAGCACAGACAGATTCCAGCTGGAAACTCACCAGAGGAGAAACTCCATGTTCTGGCTTATGGTGTCAAGTGGGCCATGGATGATATCAAGGGTCTGGCTCTGGAGGCATGAAACTGAGATGAAGGGGATGCCCAGGGGCCAGGCTGGGGTTCAGCCCGGAAGCTGTGGAAGTTTGGGAACAAGTGGTCACAAGCAGAGGCGCAGGGTGGAGGGCACTCCCTTCCTCATCAGCTCCTCACCACCAATGCAGGTGTGTGGGCTGGACGAGCTGCTGAACTGCTCCAGGCCTCCTTTCCTAAAATGGGTAAGGATGGAACTATCATCACCATCACAGAGTTCCCGTGAAGATATTTGGTTCAGTTTTCTATTAACAGCCTGAAGACTGGATCTCTGCTTAAAGAAAGGGGACATGATGGCGTTTTTAAAGATGCTCTTCCAGGTGCCCACTATTTCAGATATTCTAGTAAGCAACCCCCTAAGACAGACACTATGATCCTCTTTGAAGAAAAAGAGAAATCAAGGCACAGAGAGAAACCTGCCCATTACTTACCACTTGTGCATTCACTAATTTCATTCATTCAACACACATTTATTAAGTGCCTGCAGTGTGTCAGGCTCTGGGGGTACACATGTGGGTCATGTACTCTCAAGGAGCTCACAGGTCTAGGCGAGAGGCAAACGTCTGCACAGGTGAGACACTGCACGTGTTGAGTGTTGTGGCGGAGGTGTGAACAAAGTGCTGTGGACGCAACAGAACCAGCAGGAGCCCTCCTGAGGCAGGGGCAGTCCATACATGCGTGCACAGAGTGGGCACCCCCTCGGTGTGCAGGACCGGGTCGCCCATGCTGACCTAGTGGAAAGGCCTACCTGCGTCCTCAGGGCACCTTCCCGGCCCTACCCTGATTACTATCTGCCTGGGCTGCAGTTGTCAGGAGCCACTCTCTGCTTCAGAGGCTAATGACAGAGAGTAGCGGTACAAAAGGCAAACCAACAGGGGCTGCCGAGTTCAGAGACAAAGACTTTACTGCTTGTGTCCATAGCTCCTGCCCCAGGTTGTCATACTCCTGAAAGCATCTCTGAGCTGGTCTGTGAGGTAACTTCCTTCCCTAACACTGTGTAGGCAACTCCAGACCCCAGCCCCGTTTCCACTGTTCTCCCCTCTCAGAAGCTGGGCACAGCCCCACGGGGACATGCCCATCAGAACAGGTTGCCCAGAGCAGGCCTCCGGCAGCTGAACTTTCCTTTTGATGACTCACAGCCGTCTTACCAGCTCAATGAGCTGCTGAATGTTTTTATTTTGGTTGGACAGGCCATTCCTGATGTTTTCTAGCAGGCATCGCTTCAGTTCAAAAATGGCTTCACTGTACGCCAAGTTCACAGCGGCCATGGGAGGCACTCCATGCCATAGGCCAGGGATGTGCCAGATGTGCTGCTTCTCAGGGTCCCAAAAGGCCAGGTCAGCCAGCGTCTGGATCCCGTCACCCTGTTTCTCCATTTGCACTGTGGCTCTGCCCACATCACTGGGCTGGTCCAGGAGCTGCCTCCGCTCTCTTGGCTTGGAGCCAAGGGCAGACACATCATGAAGGTTCTGGTATACAAACTGATAGTTGGGCATGTGCCCTGTTTTTTCCAGCCTCAGAAATGCATGCAGAATAGCTGGTGGAATGTTCCTTGTTTCAGCTAAACTGACCACAGTGACATTGCTCAGCCCCATGATCAAAGTGGCCAGGGAAGCCTCCCGCTCAAACCTCTCCCCTGCCTCGGTCCGGACTCCAGTTATCACGCCCCCAGAGTCTATTACCAGGATGTGATCACAGCCCAGGTCCTGGCTAAAGCTCTCGGCCACCTTGATGAGCTGCATGAAGGCCCCTCGGGGACCACGGCCCCTCCCTGTGACAAACCGCAGCCCGAACATGCTATTGAGGAGGGTGGACTTGCCCGTGCCTGGCGTGCCAAGTGCTGACAGGACGACCAGGCGCGACCTCCTCTCCAGGCGGACATGTAGCTCCTTCAGGAGCCCTGTGACCCAGCGCAAGGGGGGGCTCAGGGTGTTCCCGTCGATCAGCTCCAGGGGAAGCCCCTTCAGCAGCAGCTCCAAGGCCAAGCCTGGGAAGTGGGCAAACCGCCTCTGCCCTGCTGGCAGCTTCCCTGCCTCCACAAGGCAGCTTTCGGCCTCGTAAAACTGCCCCATCTCCCGCAGGAAATGCTCCACCCCCAGGGGCTCCGGCCAGAACGGCTCACTGAAGTCCACGGCCCCACAGGGCTTTGGTCTCAGGGTAAAAATCATCTCTGGAGATGGTCTTGGCCTTGGCTGGGCCACCCGGGCCAGTCCCCACTCCATCCATTTCAGGAAGTACTGCTTCTCCCCCAGGGAGGGGCTGCTGATGCCCGAGATGAACTCCTGGACCCCCCAGGAAGGGCCATGGTCATTCTGCTGCATTCGAAGTTCCAGTAACCGATGCCTCAGCTCAGCCCTGTACTTCTCAGGAGGGTCGCTGGCCCACTGGATCTGGCAGAGCTCCTTCTCCACCTGGGCCGCCTTTCTCCAAAGATCCCCCTGTAGCCGCAGCTCGTCCCTGCGGTAGGCGTCCAAGTCCTTGATTTTCCTGGTGATCCGCTCCATCCGGTCCTTGGCCCGCTGACACTCCTCACAGTCCTCATCGACCTTCAGCCCCAGCTTGCGGGCTGCGTTCGCCATGTCCTCCACGGACACCCTCCTGCACGGGGACCGGGTCACATGTGCAACAATGGCGCGGACCCTACGCACGAAGCCCACACTGTCTGTGCTGCTGACCTTCACGAGGACGTGTGAGTGATCCATCTTCAGCACGGGAATTAACCTGTTTAGAAATCTCAGGTTTGTGTTTCGCTTCCCACGGTAGGGACTCAGGATGAAGTAGTATTTTGTGGCTGACCCCTTCATGGAAGACAGCAATTTGTATTCCTTCTTACTGATGTTGTCAGTCAAGATGAATATGGCCGAGGAGATTTCTGTCAAGAGCTTGAACTGCAGCCAATGAGACCCAATGTCACCTCTCAAGTTTAGGAAGGCCATGGGCTCTGGGAAAATGTCCAAGTCCTCCCTGCCACTGGGCAGAAACCAGGAAATTTCTACCAGCCCGTCTGCTATCTCCCGAGGGTTGGTGCCCAAGTTCAGATCCCGATGCCAGAAACAGTCCTGCTGCCTGTGACTGGGGCTGAGCACATCATTGAGAAGCTGGGATTTGGAGTTGCTGCTGACCTCCATGCGCACAAAGGCGAAGGCAGGTGCTCGGGACAGGACCATGCTGTCTTCTCTGAAGCTGCCCACCACCCTTGGGGGCTGTGACCCCCATGTCCGCACAGTCCCCCTCATGGCCCACAGCAGAAAGGTGTGGTAGTGGTTTTCTGGGTCAGGCAAAATAAGAGGGAGTGCAAACTGGCAGAGGGACATTTTTGACACGATTTCTTGTTGCAGGAAACTATCAGAGGAAAGCAGAAGGGCACAGAGAAGGTCCAAGGGATTCAGAGGTGTGTCAGGTGTTGGAAGCTCGGAGAAGGAATAGATGTCTGCTGAGATGTCCTCGGCCGTGTCCCAGTAGATGATCTCCTCTTCCATTTGGCTCTCCTTCTCCACAGGCCTGGTGTCCAGGGGAAGGTCCAGGACCATGGTGGTATTCCTGGCTTCAGCATTGAGGGCCTGCAGCTTCCTGAGAAAATTCCAGGGCAAGTCTTTGGGAGTCTGAGGAGCCCAGTTCTTCATGCTGTCACTGCTGATCTGTAAGGCGTCCTGGAGGCTGAGTTTCTGTGTTTGGTATGTCTCTAGTCCCAAAAGAAACAGCATTTCTTGTAGTCTGCTCCTCTCCTCTGTGGAGAGAAATGAAGATATAATTGCTTACTCTGCATGTCAGGGCACCCAGGTTAGAGGTGGGGAGGGAGATCCCAACTCAGCAGGTAGGAGATGGCCTCCTTCAGAGCAAAATGCAGGCACCCCTAGGCCACCTAAGAACAAGACAAAGGTAACATCACCCACCCCAGTCCCAAGTGTGCCCAGAGAGTGTGTGACATTAGAGATGAAAAACAAAGGGACATCCAGGGGCTACATTTAAGAATTGGGAGATTTTATGTAAAAAATGTCTTGTTTCTCTTGAAGCCTCCAAGATTTAGCAATGCCAAGCCCAAATTTAATTGGCTAGAGTGAACAGCTATGCACTTTAGATGTGGAACACGGGCCTCATTCTCTGGCCACACCCCCCTCCTTTCAACATACTCCTGTGCTTCTGGCCCAGCAGTGGATTCCCTCACACTGTCACCAGGAATTTTCCACAGTGGACACAATCACTGATTCACTGTGGTTCTCTGGTTGATGTTCTTTTCTGTCTACAAATTGGAAATTTTGTAAAGGAAACAAGGAGTTACTCTTGGGTACAGAGTAATAGAAATCACTTTTAAATGACATTTCTCCAAACCTGAAACCAATAGTATGGTTCTAAATTTTCACTGTATTAAAATATTTTGTAGAAATTCTAAGTCTGTACTTATTTGTTCAGATTTTCAGCCATAACATCCAACAGAGTATGAGTTCTTACAAGCACTAGACACTCAGAACAGTAATGCCACCTGCAAAGGTTTCCTCTGCCATCCCTGTTCTTGGCCACAGCATCTTACCAATTTTCATTGCATATAATTTACTATATATAATTTTTTCAGTCACCAAGTCATGTCCAACTCTTCGCGACCCCATGACTGCAGCACACCAGGCTTCCATTGTACCTCACCATCTCCTGGAGTTGGCCCAAGTTCATGTCCATTGCATCAATGATGTCATAGAACCATCTGATCCTCTGTTACCCTCTTCTCCTCCTGCCCTCAATCTTTCCCAGAATCAGGGTCTTTTCCAATGAGTCGGCTGTTCGCATCAGGTGGCCAAAGTACTGGAGCTTTAGCTTCAACATCAATCCTTCTAATGAGTATTTGTGGTTGATTTCCTAGAAGATTGACTGGTTTGATATCTTTGCTTGAGAGCCCAGAGGACTCTCAAGAGTTTTCTCTAGCACCACAGTTCAAAAGCATCAGTTCTTCAGTGTTCTGCCTTCTTTATGGTCCAGCTCTCACAACCGTTCATGACTACTGGAAAGACCACAGCCTTGACTATATGGATCTTTGTCAGCAAAGTGATGGCTTTGCTTTTTAACACACTGTCTAGGTTTGCCATAGCTTTCCTGCCAAGAAGCAGTCGTCTTCTAATGTTATGGCTGCAGTCACCATCCACAGTGATTTTAGAGCCCAAGAAGAGGAAATCTGTCACTGCTTCCACCTTTTCCCCTTCTATTTGCCATGAAGTGATGGGGCCAGATGCCATGATCTTAGTTTTTTAACATTGAGTTTTAAGTCAAATTTTTCACTCTCCTCCTTCACCCTCATCAGGAGGCTCTTTAGCTCCTCTTTGCTTTCTGCCATTGGTATCATCTGCATATCCAAGGTTGTTCATGTCTCTCCCAGCAATCTTGGTTCCAGCTTGTAATTCATCCAGCTCAGCATTTCACATGATGTGCCCTGTGTATAAGCTAAATAAACAGGGTGACAATAAGCAGCCTTGTCATACTCCTTTCTCAGTCCTGAACCAGTCAGGTTCTAACTGTTGCTTCTTGAGACATACAGGTTTCTCAGGAGACAGGTAAAATGGTCTGGTATTCCCATCTCTTTTAAGAGCTTTCCATAGTTTGTAATGATCCACACAGTCAAAGGCTTTAGCACAGTCAATGAAACAGACATAGATGTTTTTCTGGAAGTTCCCTTGCTTTCTCTATGATCCAGTGAATGTTGGCAATTTGATCTCTGGTTCCTGCCTTTTCTAAATCCAGTTTGGACATCTAGAAGTTCTCTGTTCATGTAATGCTGAAGTCTAGCATGCAAGATGTGGAACATAACCTTACTAGCAGGGAACATGAGTGCAACTGTCCAGTGACTTGAACATTCTTTAGTATTGCCTTCTTGGGGACTGGGATGAGGACTGACCTTTTCCAGTCCTATGGCCGTTGCTGGGTTTTCCAAATTTGCTGACATATTGAGTGCAGCATTTTGATAGCACTGCATATAATTAGAAAACTTTAAATGTTAAATATATTAACAAAACAAATAAACACGAATCCTGCTGAGCTCAAGGATTCTCTCCATTCTTTTCTCAAAAGAGGAAGCTACGCCTATGATGCTACCTTAGGTGCTGACAGAAACCACAGGAGGAAGTGCAGGTGATCAGCCTTCTTCTTGTTTCCCAGTAAGTTACATGATGGGATCAGGACCATGCCTGGGTGAAGAGCAGGACTCAAAGCACTTATTCCCCTGTAGGGATCCACTTGCTGCCTAATGTCTCTCTTCAGAACCTCAACCCTCCACAGGGGCTAACTGGCCATGCTACCATCCCAGAGAGTCAAGAGCTGGCAAACTTGTTGCAGAAACAAAAGAAATACATCATATAAGTAACTTAGGTTTCTGACTGTTGCCTGAATAAAACCAGGGACATTGTTTTTCTTATCCAGACATAGAGTAACTTTTTTAAGTAGCATGGTAGCTATATGTGACAGGGAAAGCCAGAGCAAACAAACTTATTAATGTGTACATCCATGCCCAGTCCATGACCCTTGGCAGATCTATAAATGAAACCACTGGATCAGATGAATGACTCCCAAACTTGGATATGCTTTAGAATCACTTTGGGAACTTCTTAAAAATAAGATTTTTGAGCTTTACGTCCAAATATGCAAATTGATTATGTTACTCTATACGGTAACAGCTCCCCAGGGTTTGCTTTTCTGGCAATATTATTAATGGCACATAAAGGATTAATGGACTAGCAGTGATTTTGATGCAGTCAGGGGTTGAAACTACCAGCCCAGAAAATGTTTTCCATCAATAAGACAGACAGAGCAGAGAAGAAACATACCTATTGGAAAGTCACTATCTTGAGCTTCATTTGGACCCTCTAAAAAAAGCAAAGGAAAATGAAATATCAATCAAATCAGGGGGCTTGAATTGACACAAATTAATTTAGGCTAAACTCAGAACCCCCATTCTTTCTTACTAAGGTAGTAACTTCTCCCAATTGTTCAAAATCTAAAATCCCAGTTATTTTTTTCACTTTGCCCATTCCTTATCTCTTTCCCTAATCCAATCTGTTGCCAAATCCTGTAATTTCTACCTCCATAATGAAACTCGCAGTCATCTCCTTCCATTTCTCTCCATTCCAAATCTGGAAGAAAAAAACATATATACACATTTAGTTTCATCAGCAAGTTAAGACCTTTCTACCAGAAAATTCAAGTGAAGATACAATGTTTAAGATCACCAGCCAGGTTGGATGCATGAGACAAGAGCTCGGGGCTGGTGCACTGGGAAGACCCAGAGGGATCAGGTGGAGAGGGAGGTGGGAGGGGGGATGGGGATGGGGAATACATGTAAATCCATGGCTGATTCATGTCAATGTATGGCAAAAACCACTACAATATTATAAAGTAATTAACCTCCAACTAATAAAAATAAATGGAAAAAAATAATAATAATTTATGAAAAAAAGAAACAATGTTTATTTTGAGTACTATTATTGGTTTCAGTTTTTCCTATGTAAATTTCATCTGCTTACAACCCCAAATATGACACAAAGTAGTAATAACCACAGACACAAGATAATGATTTGCTCTAGGATTACCAGTCCATCCTAAAAGAGATCAGTCCTGAATGCTCATTGGAAGGACTGATGTTGAAGCTGAAACTCCAATACTTTGGCCACCTGATGCGAACAGCTGACTCATTTGAAAAGACCCTGATGCCTGGAAAGATTGAAGGCAGGAGGAAAAGGGGATGACAGAGGATGAGATGGTTGAATGGCATCACCAACTCAATGGACATGCATTTGGGTGGACTCCAAGAGTTAGTGATGGACCGGGAGGCCTGGTGTGCTGCGGTCCATGGGGTTGCAAAGAGTCAGACATGACTGAGTGACTGAACTGAACTAAACTGATATTCCTTGTAAAATTTACTAAATTTTGTGAAAATAAAATATAAATAACTTCATGACACTTACATAGATTAATCTTTGATTTTAGAAACTATTAAAATATGAGTTGATATAAATTCTCTGGTTCAGTTTCAAGATTACCTTCCACAAACTTTTTTTATTCTAGCATAAGGAGTTTTTGTTATCACTTAAAATGATGCACATATACGGGGGGAGGGCGTACAGTGGGGAATAGTTATAACTTACAAGTAAATTGGTAATTATTCAAAGTCTCTAACAGCATAATATATTCATCAATACTAAATAATTTTAATTACTGAATTATTTAATTTAGTGCTATTTGGATATTTACATTGAGAAAAAAGACGTTAAAACTCTAAATTTACTAGCAAAAGTAGACTAGTGGGAGCAAGACTTCTCTGTACATATTTTTATTGTTTTGATTTTTGATCCAAGTCGTAGTAACACCTATTTCAAAATTATATCTTTAAAATATTATGAATCAGGAAAAGATACTGACATTTTTAGACTTATTAATTCTCTCATGATTTCTATATAATCAGATAAACATGACAATTCAGTCTTCTTTAACTGAAGAGAAGATGTGAAGAGCCGGAAAGAGAAAAAGAGAAAAAGGACATATTTGGAGAACATGAGCATATTAGAGAAGACACAAACGATTCACATAGATTGAACTGCACTGTTGAGCAGTCAAATTATTCACAGTGGACAAAAGACAACAGAAGAATTTTTTCAAGGAACCCAAACTGCATTCTTTCTCAGAACAATGGTTAAAGGTGAGAACAGGACGCTTAGGGAAGCCTGAGATGGGGTCAAGCCTGAGACAGTAGTTTTGAGCTGGAAGCAAGGAATAAACTTTAGACCCAGAGAAGACAGGGCCTGCTTTACTACTAATGGGAGACAGCTTTGATTTGGAGCAGGGAGCTAATAGGTGGATGAAGGCAAGGATGCACAAAGTGGCCAAAGGTCAGGGTATCAAACTAAGGAATCGCTGATGAGGGATGTAAGAGCCTAAAGTTTCAGGAGCAGAGAACTCTGGACGTCAAGATAAACATTGGTCACTAGCAGACTGCAGGAGGGCTTCAGACAAGGACACAAGTCAGTAGCAAATACAGGAGGCCAGCAGTGGTTTGGTCCTGTGGGCCAAAGTCTCCACTCTATTTTCTGCTGGGCAAGAACTGATCAGGATGGGACAGGCTTTGGTCCCAAACCTGTGGGGATGCTGGGCTCAAATGGAACACAAGGAGCAGAATATGGGCAGGATCCACTTGAAATGAACTCTAAGTGGGGCAATTAAAATCATTCACAACCATCAAATTGAATGACTTTTTTTCAGTCATTAAAGTAACCAGTACTCACACTATAGTTTTTCATCAAATTTTGGAATATTTGTTATATTTGACACCTGGGGGTTGTCTGTGTTAAGAAGGAGCTATGGACACCTACATGCACAAGAAAGAGGTTGAACTCCTACCTCACACCATATATAAAAATTAACTCAAAAGGTATCAGTGACCTAAATATGAGCTAAAACCATAAAACTCTTAGAGTAAGACATGAGGGAGGGTAAATCTTCATAGCCTTGAATTTGGTAATGAATTCTTAGGTATAACACCAAAAGTACAGGCCACAAAAAATACATAAACTGGACTTCATCAAAGTAAAATTCTGTATGCATCAAAGAACATTCTCAAGAAAGTGAAAGACAGCCTATGAATGTGGAAAATATGTGCAAACCATATGTGATTGGATCTAGTATCTGGACTATGTAAACAAGTACAACTTCACAATAAAAAAGATAAAAAAAAAACCCTCAATTGAAAAGTGGAATATTCAAAGAACTTGAATAGACATTTCTCCAAAAAAATATACAAATGGTCAGATGCACATAAAATGATGCTCAACATCATCAGTCACTAGGGAGACCAAATCAAAACCACAGTGAGATAGCACTGCACACCTGTTAGGATGGCGATTTTAAAAAAGGATGGAGAATAGCAAGCATGGACAGGATGGGGGGGAATCAGAACCCTTGTACATTTCTGGCAGGACTTTAAGCGGTGCAGCTGTTGGGAAAACAATTTGGCTGTTCCTCAAACAGTTAAACACAGAATTACTAATTGACTCAGGAATTCCACTCTGAGGTATATGTCCAGAAGAACTTAGAACAGGGACTCAAACGAGTACACGTGTATGCATGTTCATAGCACGATTATTCACAGTGGCCCAAAGGTGGAAACCAAATAGCCAAATGCCCACTGGCAGATGAATAGATAAACAGAATGTGGTCTATGCATGCAATAGAATATAATTCAACCCTACAAAAGAACAACATGGAGGAACTCCAAAACACTGTGCTAGGTGAAAAAAAATAAACACAAAAGGGCACATATTGTATGACTTCATTTATAGGAAAATATTTAACATAAATATAAACAAAGAGTTAACACAGATTGGTGGTCCAGTCTGGAAATTGGGAGGAGAGATGGGAGAAACTGCATAAGGGATAGAGAGTTTTACTTTCAAGTGATGGAAATGTTTTGGAAATTACCTAAATAAGAAGTGGTGATTTCATAAGTTTATGAATGTACTGTCATAGAATTGTTCACCATAAAACACTTTTCTCCCCCAGTATTTTTCCATTTTTAAAAACTGTGTTAAAATACACGTAACATAAAATTTAGTACTTTTTTTGGGTGGGGGGCCATGCCACACGGCTTGTAAGATCTTAGTTTCCAGACCAGGGAGTGAACCCAGACCCTGGGAAGTGAAAGCGCAAAGTCCTAACCACTGGACCACCAGGGAATTCCCTGAAACATGTTTAAGTGTACAGATCAGTGGCATTATATACTTTCTGACTTTATGCTTTTGACTACTCTAACTCACATAACTACACTCATACATTATTTGTCTTTTTGTGACTATTTCACTTAGCATAATGTTCTCAAAGTTCATCCTTGCTGTGGCATAATGTAGAATTTGCTTCCTTTTAAAATCTGAGTAATATTCCATTGTATGTATACACCATATTTTGGTAATCCATTCATCCATTGATGGACACTTATGTTGCTTCCATGTTTTAATTATTGTGAATAATGATGCTATGAACCTGGATGTACAAATATCTGTTTGAGAACTTGTTTTTTATTATTTTGTGTATGCACCCAGAAGGGGAATTACTAGATCATATGGTAGTTCTATTTTTAATTTTGTGAGGAGCCCCCATACTGTTTTCTGGGCTCAGTGGTGAAGAATTCACCTGTGATGCAGAAGACGCAGGAGACGAGGGTTCCATCCCTGGGTCAGGAAGATCCCCTGGAGGAGGGCATGGCAACCCACTCCAGTATTCTTGCCTGGAGAATCCTTTGGACAAGGAGCCTGGAGGCTACAGTCCACAGGATTGCAAAGACTCAGACAAGACTGAAGTGACTGAGCATGCATGGACACATACAGTTTTTCACAGTGGTTTCACCATTTTACATTTCCAGCAACACTGCACAAGGGTTTCAATTTCTCCACATCTTTGCCAACACATGTTCTTCTCTTTTTTTGTTATAGTAGCCATCCTAATGGATGTGAGATTGTATCTCATTGTAGTTTTGATTTGCATTTTCCTAATAATTAGTGATGTAGAGCATCCTTCAGAGTCCTTATTGTCCATTTGTATATCTTCTTTGGAGAAATATCTTTTCAAGGACTTGGTCCACGTTTGAATCAGGTTGTTTTTTATCATTGAGTTTAAGGAGTTCTCTGTATATTCTGACAGTAATCCCTTATCAGATATATGACTGCAAGCATTTTCTCCCCTCCGTGTGTTGACTTTAATCCTCTGTGTGCGCATGCGCAGTCACTTCAGTCATGTCTGACTGTGACTCTATGGACTAGCCTTGCCAGGTTCCTCTGTCCAGGCGACTCTCCAGGCAAGATTACGGAAGTGGGTTGCCTTGCTTTTCTACAGGGGATTTTCCAGACCCAGGGATCAAACCTGCATTTCCTATATTACACACGGACTCTTTACCGACTGAGTTCCCAGGGGAGCCTTATACTCTGTGGATAGTGTCTTTTCCCCAAAACTTTACACTTTTAATTTTGTATTGGGGTATGGCCAATTAACAATGTGGCGGTACTTTCAGGTGGACAGAAAGGGCCTCCGCCATACACATACATGTATCCATTCTCCCCCAGGTGGATATTGTCTTTTTAAAAATATATAT